CATGCCACTTTCTGGAAGGGGCTCACATTCAACTGCTGCCTCTCCCCGATTTTCAGAGTCTCTGTTCACTGAACACCCCATTCTCAAGCAAGGAGGAGCTACTCAGCAGGCCCTGATGGGGGCACTGGGAGGGACCAAGAAGTTGCAAATTCACAATGATGCCTACATGTCAAAGGTGCTGGGGGCACCTTGGCTACAGAAAGTGCTTCCTATAGTCTAACCTCAATTCCCTCACTTCTTTCTTTCTCCTCCTCTGCCCGTCTTCCCCTACCCTTGCACTTCATGCTTAGGCCACTCTGAACTCCTATAGTCCTCACATAAACGAAACCATGCTTGCTTTCCCCTCGAGGCCTTTTGCACATGGTATTTACTCTTTCTGTGGGACTGTCAATTCTGCCTTAAGAAGTGACTCTTCCTTCTAAGGCCAGCTCCAATAGCCCCTCCTCTTCTTTTTTTTTTTTTTTTTTAATTTTTTTTAATGTTTTATTTATTTCTAGGAGAGAGAGAGAGAGAGAGACAGCATGAGCAGGGGACAGTCAGAGAGAGAGGGAGTCACAGACCGAAACAAGCTCCAGGCTCTGAGCTGGCAGTCAGCACAGAGCCCGACGCGGGGCTCGAACCCACGAACCGCGAGATCATGACCCAAGCGAAAGTCGGACGCTTAACCGACTAAGCCACCCAGGCGCCCCTAGCCCCTCCTCTTCAATATCTTCCCCTGCCACTGGCAGAGGTAGGGGAGATCATGGGCCTCCCTCCATGTGGTCATTGTTCTGTCTATCTCCCCGCAAAGCTGGTACATTTGGGTGGGTAGCAACCTAGTAAATGCCAGATGAATGAATGAATGAATCCTGATCCCCCTCTCCCTCCCCTGTTTCTCTCAGCCCTGCAGTCCCCCTCTCCCTAGATGACTTCCCTCACCTGCAGGAGGGGCAGAAGTGGAGAGTGCCTCAGTCTCCAGCTCTCCCTCCTGTCCTGGAAGACTTCCCCCTCATGCCTATAGCCCACTCTCACAAAGTCAGGAGATTCCACACCCCTCTGTGCTGGTAGGAAGTTCTTCCTGTTGTCTACCCTCATTCCCTTTCTTAGCCACGCCTGCTTCCTTATTGTTCCTTTTGGAGAGGGGTCAGGCACTGGATCATCTCAGTTTTACCATCTGTAGTTGGAATAAGGGCTGCTTATCTCTCTCCATTCTCTGCCCACGATGTGTTCTTACCACTCCTGAACCATTATGTCCCAGCCTGGCCCTGCTTAGGGGGAAAGACAGTGACCCAGGATGGAGAAAGGACACAAGGCCAAGTAGCCAGGCCTTGTAAAGGAGCCCAGGGCAGATGTAACCACTCCAAGGGAAGGGCTGCCCGAGAGGGAAGGGATGAGCATCCTGTCCCTGGGGGTATGTAAGCAGGCCTGGATAGATTTGTGGGCAAGTTGTAGAAAGGTGAAAAGCAACAGCTAGAAGGTGGCCCAGATGTTCTTCATGTCCTCTCCCACTGGGAGGCTGCACTGAGTCTAGGTACCTAGCCCTGTGCTGGGAACCATGAGGAGGTGACTCCTATCTTAGAGTTGCTACTTACCTGGCTGGGTAAGGACCCCACACAGGGGCATCACAGGGAAAGACCAAGTCTGGGCCACATTTTTTTCTTTTTTAAAGTAGGCTCCCATGGCCAACATGAGGCTCAAACTCATGACCCTGAGATTGAGTCATGTGCTCTACTGACTGTGCCAGCCAGACACCACTGGGCCATATTCTTTTTTTTTTTTTTTTAATATTTTTATTTCTAGGAGAGAGAGAGAGGCAGCGTGAGCAGGGAGGGTCAGAGAGAGAGGGAGATACAGACTCTGAAATAGGCTCCAGGCTCTGAGCTGTCAGTCAGCACAGAGCCCGACGTGGGGCTCGAACCCACGAACCGCGAGATCATGACCTAAGCGAAAGTCAGACGCTTAACCTACTAAGCCACCTAGGTGCCCCACCACTGGGCCATATTCTTGATGCTGTACTATCAGGGAGACTTCAGGGTGGGCTATGGGGTCAGAGGGAGGGTGGACCAAGGAGGGCTTCCTAGGGGAGGCTTCCTATTCAGAAGCTTTTCCTCAGCAACCAATTCCATGAGGAGAAGCCCAAGCCTCTTTGGAATTTGAGACTACAGAATCTGGCCCTTCCTTCCTCTTCTCTACTCCCTTCTTTATCCTGCCAGCCCAACCCCTTTCTGTCCCTTGATCACACAGAACTCTCTCACATCTACCCATCTTTCCATGCTGTTCCCTCTGCTCTTCCCGTGGGCAATTCCCATCCATCCTTCAAGGTGCAGCTCAAGCGCCTCCTCCTCTGAAGCCCCAGCTTGGTGTGGGCCCCACAGTTTCTTCCCGGGGCTTCCCTCCTCACAGCACTGTTCACACTGCAAGGCTATAGGTTTCCACTTCTGCCTCCCTTATCAAACCAGGGGTCCCTGAGAGCAGGGTCTGGGTCTGGGCCCATTCTGTGTCCCCAGTGACTAGCCCCATGGGCACCAAGCAGGCATTGGAGAGTCGTTGACTGAATCAATGAATGGATGGACGCAGAAATGCAGGAATAGGAGTAGGCCAGGTGGGTAGATTGTACAGGCCCAAGCAGTAGGAGCCTGGGGAGCGCAGGCCTGATCCAACAGCAGCCCGGCTCAGGGTGAGACTCCCAGGCCATTAAGACCGAAGGCGGGTACTGCTGGGAGCTCTGCCTCCCCTATTTGGCTAGATCCCAGCCAAGCCATCAGCAGTCCCTGGGGACAGGAGGCTGGAGTGGGAAGCAGAAAGAGTGGCAGGAGCTGCTTGGTGGGCAGGGGCAACTGGGGGTTGTGGAGAGTATAAAGTCAATTAACCCTCACTGAGCCGACCCAGCTCAGGCAACCAACAGGTCCCCTGCAGGGTCTGAGGAAAGAGGCCGAGGTTTGTATCTGATGAAGAGCTTCAGCCTCGGCCCTGTAGCCAGAGCTGGTTGACAAAGACAGGGCCTCATTTTCCCCATCTGGGAACAGGTGGCTTCATGATGCCCAACCCTCTGCACACTCTGGGGGAATTTCTCCTGCTACCTTGTTGGCCTCAGCTTTCCAAGAGCTTTTCCCTCCAACATCATGACTCTCTGAGGTCCTGCCACTGCATCTCTCACTGAGTCCAAGCCAAGCCACCTTGACGTCCCCCATCCCATTGTTACCCAAGCCCTCCAACCTCTCCCTTCAGAAAGGCCCGGGTCATCTGCCCCTTGGCCCACTTGTCCCCAGACCTCCCTAATGTCCACGGTGGCCTGGCCTCCACCCTAGCCTCCTTACCCCATCTCTCTTTTCCAGTTCAACCTAACAGTGCCACTGAGGCAGCTTTCTAAAACCCACAGGATTCTGTCCCTCCATCACACAGAACCTTCTCAGATTCCCTAGGGCCCTCCGGATAAAGCCCAAGAGGTCTGGAGTTCAAAGTCCTGTAGGACTTGGCTGCTGCCTACCCCTTCAGCCTCCTCACTGCTCCAGGGATATGCCAGATCCCTACGCAGGGCCTTTGCTTATGCTGCTCCCACTCCACCCCCACCTGTTAGCTTGATCCTGATCTTTATGCTTAATTATTCTCAAGCCATTTTATGTCTAGGAAGCTTAGGAGGCCCCAGAGGGCAGAGCCATTATTGCCTATTTCATTTCTGCATCTCCCCACAGGGTGTAGAATGAATTGTCCTGGGCTCACAGAGGTGGTCGCACATTCAGCCATCCCCGCCCTGCCTCAGTGGGCCACAATATCCCAGCTGTGTCCTTAACCACCAGGGGAAGGAAACAGCCACCCACGCATAGCTGGATGAACATACACATAAAGACACACACATGTATACCAGCCACACAAGCACCGATGTACACTCATGCACACCACCCACACCCAAACAGTTATGCTACACACACACAGCGCAGCACTAATATTCACACACTAACAAACAAGCACACAAACAGGAATGCATATGGAATCAAACACCGTGCTCAATATTGACTCATTTTATTTTGCAGACACAACACACATATTAACATGTATGCCAACATATAAACTCAAACACACACCCACCTACACCTACACATATGACAACCTGCACTCACCCGTGTGCAGATGACCTCTCACAGTCACACAGGGTTGTTCACACATCGTGACAGCCTGCTGCACATCCAGCCACCAAGGACTCTTCAGGCCCTTGCACACTCCCCAAGTCCCCCTTGCACCTCACACCTGCACACACATACACACACCTTCATGTGCAGGCATAGAACTGCTCCTCCACTGACCTGGAGACCCACATCCCTTGCCACCCACCTCAGCAGCCCTCAGATGGTGGAGGGGCATCTCCACAGAACCCCCTACTCCACTCATCTGCACATGTACCCATGCACGTGGATGCACATAAGGCTGATACACAGGGGCCTCATTCAACCAGCCCCATGGCTCTCTCTGGGACAGATGTTTTGGGGTAAAGTTGCCTAAACTAGTGGCTGTGAATCCCAGTCTCATGAAAGGCAGTTGTCCACTTATTCATATTCATGTTTGTTTTCTCTCTCTCTCTTTCTCTCTCTCTCTCTCTCTCTCTCTCTCTCTCTCTCACACACACACACACACACACAGGGTCACAGACATCTTATCCTTCTCTGGGGTCTGAATCAGTTTATCTCAGCTCCCCAGAGCTCCTTGGAACTCCCTGTAGACCCCACGCCACCCCCAGCCCCTGAAAGGATAATTTAGGTTCATTACCAACCCCTCCCCCAGCCCCCTCTATGAGACACCATCCCCATCACCCCCTAGGTCGATGCCAGATACTCCCAACCCTGTGCATAGCCCGCCCCCACCCCCCAGGCTATAGTCCAGCAACCGGGCTCCCAGAAGCAGGATCGATTCTCCCACGTGGCTCAGCTCCACGCCAACCCCAGCTCCTCAGAGGCACTCCCAAGACCCTTGTCCCCAGTATGTCTTGCAGTGGCTCATCCGAACCCCAGCCCCTCGATAGTACTCACGGCTCAGCCGGTCTCGCTGCCGGGTACTGCTGGCTCCTGCAGAGGATGGAGTGGCCGCATGCCTGCCCCATCGCTCCTCATCGTCTGCCTCCCCAGCCAGACTAAGGTGGCACCTCGCCCTGTCCACCCTGCCCGGGGCTCCAGGCAGGGTGCCTGGCCCAGTGGGCACAGGGACCAAGAGCAGTAGCCTGTCCCCAACTCAGCCTGGACTCAATACCCCAAGCCAGTGCTGCCGCTGCCCCAGTTGCTCCCACCTCTCCCGCTGCCACTGCCTCTGCCGCTAGGCTGGCTCTGGGAGGAGGTTGGAGCAGGTCTGCTAATGCAGAAGGGGGAGGGAGGAGGGAGGAGAAACAGAGAGGCCCAGACAGAGAGGGAGAGAGGGAGGGAGGGGTAGAGAGACTCTGGCTGGGAGAGAGGAAAAGAAAGACTCACAAACAGAGGAACAGAGACAGAAACAGAGACAGAGAGAAACAGGAAGGAGAGAAATACATGAAGGAGAGAAGAAAGGGATCAGAGCTCCAGAGAGATCAAGATGGAAATATAAAGAGATCAGAGAGAGACATAGGGAAAACACACACAGAGGAACAAAGACAGAAAAGAAAAGGAAAAAAAAAAAAAAGCAGAAATAGAAATGGGGGAAGGGGAGAGAGACAGAGAGTGAGAGAGCGAGAGAGAGTTAGAGGAACCCAGAGAGGTATGAGGATGAATGATTTGCACTGTGCACAGACTAGAATAGGGATGAGGGGCAGATGGACAGATGGACAATGCTAGCCCATTACAGAGGCTCTCGGGGTCGAGGGACGCTTCTCATCCTCCTCAAGGAAGGGCTGGGCTCCCTTACTGAGCAAGTATCATGTACTGCGGTGCATCCCCAGCATGGAGTGGGTACACAGGAGGCTCTCCGGGCTTTGGATTCAGAGCCTTGTCACAGAGTCTACCTTAGTGGCTCTGCTTAGCTGGGACACTGTGGGAGTTGATGCTGAAGCATGCAGTTTAAAAACTTCTTTTTTAATTTTTAAGTTTATTTGTTTATTGAGAGAGAGAGAGAGAGAGAGAGAGAGAGAGAAAGAGAGAGAGAATCCCAAGCAGGCTCCACACTGTTAGCACAGAGCCCGATGTTGGGCTCGAACCCACGAACTGTGAGATTATGACCTGAGCTGAAATCTAGAGTCAGACATTCAGCTGACTGAGCCACCTAGGCGCCCCCAAGATTTTAAGTAATCTCTGCACCCAACATAGGACTCAAACTCACAACCCTGATGAGTTATATGCTCTGTTGAATGAGCCAGCCAGGTGCCCAGAGCACGCACTTGTACTAGGAGTTGTGGGCACTCAGGCCACAACCGGCCCACGTGTTTTCTGTGTCCACAGGCTATAGGCATGGAAGGAGGCCTGCTGCACCACTGCCCTGTCACCAGAGAGGATTCTTGGGAGAAAGCCTTAATCCAATGGAATTGGGGCATCTTAGGCAATGGGACAGGTAGGGAATTGTCTCAGCAGGCGCCTGTTGGACATAAAAGAAAATTGGGGTTCCACACCTTGAGGTGGGAAATAGGGGTTCGAACGCTGGCTCCTCTACTGACTTTTTCATTCGCTCACAAACACCTGCCATTGGCCAACTTTATTAGCTATGACTCAGACTGCTCCTTGCCCTGGAGAAGCACCCAGCACCCAGTCAAGGTGTGTGTGTGTGGAGGGGGCGAGGGGGGGATGACTTGCAGTGTGACAGAGGGAAGCACAGAGTCTGTAGTGCCCAAACAGGGCCCCTGACCCAGTCTGGGGTTGGAGAGCATTTCTGTAAAAGAGGAGATCAGCGGAGTCTTTAAGAGGGGGGGGACCCCAGGAGAAGTGGGTGTACTCCAGGCTGGGGTGGCTGGGTGTAATCCTCACCAATAACCTCACCTGTCTGACCTGCAGGGACAACAATGCCTGCCACACATGCCAGGATCCAGGCCAAAACACCCATGAGACGGAGTGAAAACCTGACCCCCGTTAACAGGCACAGAGGTGCTGTGCTGTGGGATGGAAAGAAACAACCCAGCTTGTGCAGGAGGCTGTTCAGTCTGACAGAAAGTGGTTTTCTCATGGTTTAGGAAGTGTCAGGAAAGAAAATGTGAGGGAGCTTTTGCTTCCCACTGTGGCCCCAGAAGGTAGAATTTCAGATCTCCAAAAGTTTGGGGCAAACGGGTTTCTCAGCCTGACCCATCCCTGGGACCTTGCTGCTCTATGCCTGCTGGCTGGGAAGGTATTTTTTGGGCCCAGGAAGCCAAGGCCCTGGACCAGGTCCAGGCTTGGCCTCTCACAGCTCCCCTTCACGCACCAAGGAGCCTCACAGTAAGAAGATGAGTCAGAGCAGCTCAAAGGAGGGCACCTCCCGGGCACAGGGGAAGCAGGTGCATTGAAGCCTCACCTGCCCCTCAGCCTCCGTTTGGAAGCAATGGTGGAGGCCTCATCTTCATAAATCCCCTTCATAAATACTCAAGCAAGGGGCGCCTGGGTGGCTTAGTCGGTTAAGCGTCCGACTTTCGCTTAGGTCATGATCTCGCGGTTCGTGGGTTCGAGNTCATGAGAGACTCTTGAATGCCGAGAACAAAATGAGGGCTGATGGTGGGGGGGAGGGGAAGTGGGGTGATGGGCATGGAGGAGGGCACTTATTGGGATGAGTACTGGGTGTTATATGTATACCAACTTGACAATAAACTATTAAAAAAATAAAAATAAGGGGCACCTGGGTGGCTTAGTCAGTTAAGCGTCCGACTTTCGCTTAGGTCATGATCTCGCGGTTCGTGGGTTCGAGCCCCGCGTCAGGCTCTGTGCCGACTGCCAGCTCGGAGCCTGGAGCCTGTTTCAGTCTGTGACTCCCTCTCTCTCTGACCCTCCCCTGTTCACGCTGTCTCTCTCTCCTAGAAATAAATAAAACATTAAAAAAAATAAATAAATAAGCAAGAGAGGAAGGCAGGAAGGTCTCCCTCCGTCCCACTACCACACCCAACTCCACAGCTACCCCAGAACTAAGGAGTCTGCAGGAATGAGGTACAAGATCCAGGGCCAGTGGGTACTCCGGTACTCTAGGATTTACAGCCAGGCTGTAAATTTGAACCGGAATTTGAACCAGGAGGTTCAAATCCCAGCTCTGCTATCCATGTGGCCTGGGCAAGTTACTTAACTACTCTGAACTTCAATTCAGCTTTCTCATCTAAAAGGAGAGGTCACAGATTCCAAGCTCAAAGAGTTGTAAGGCTTTGGAAATATCTGTAAAGTTCCCAGTAAATAGTGGTAGTCTTCCCTCCCCCCGCCCCCTCCATCCCTTGCCTTTTCTCTTAAGAGGTCGAACTGGTAGAGCTAAGGGAGGAGCGGCCTGAAATGTTGGGGTAGGGGCCCTGTAGGACAGTGCCAGGATGGGGGGTGTGCTTCTGAAAGGGGGCAGGGCCGGTGTCCCGGCTGCTCTTCCCGCCTCTACCTCCATCTGGCCAGCTAGGCCGGCGCGGCAGGAGCGAGGGCCCAGCGCGATCACCGCGAAGCCCCGCCCCGCCGCAGGTCCCGGCCGCTCTCCCGGGTGCTGATCCGGGCGTGCCGCGTGCAGGGGCCCTGGCCCGCCGGCCTGCAGACGGTCAGCAGACACCGGTTTTTGCTAGTTGGGGAGCTGGCAGGAGGTGAGAGGAAGCTGGGAGGCGGGCGGTGCCCGAAGCGATGGGAAAATGCAGCCTCTGGGATCCAGCCTCCGCCCTGCGCCCACTGCCTCGCGAGGACTGCAGGCTCCAGCTACCTTCTCGTTGCCAAAGAAGGCGGCTTCTTCTCAGCGCCCTCTCCCGCCGCCTTCCTGCCCCGCTGCTTCCCTCCCACCTTCCAGACGGCCCCTCCTCTGTCTCGCTCACAGGTTCATCCTATTTTTGCCCCCTGAACATGGGTGCTCCTCACAGGAGCACCAGGCCCTGTCTCTTTCCTCTTTCTCCACCCCACCTTCAAGGAGCTTGGAGCCTTCCCCAAATGCACCAACTTCTAGTGCCACCCCAGCCCCCCAGCCCAGTCCTCTCTCTGGGGCTCCAGACATCCAATACAGGTGGCCTCCTGGACATCTGTGGGACCATCCCAGAAGCCCCATACACCTATTCACATCCAACATATCTTTTGTCTCTATTAAAGGTATCAGCAAACTTCTAATCCCCAGTCTAGAAACTACAAAGTCGCTTTGTCTCTTCCTCCTGCCGCTCCTGTGCCAAATCGATCACCGCCAATTCTCCCTCTCTAATTCTCTCACATCTATCTACTCCCTCCATCACCCCCAGGCCCTGCTTACTTCCTCCTCCTCTGGTCTTTCTCCAGCCCCCTACCCCAATTCAACCCCTCTATTCCACTCCACCCCCTGCACCAAGCACTAACTGGTCATGTAACCCCTCCTCAGAGTCCTTGCATGGCTCCCCAGTGCCTTCAGGATAAAGGCCAAGCTCCTCAGCCTGATACCTGAAGTCTCTCATGATCAGCCTTGATGTCTCCATCCTCTGCCCCACATAGAGCAGGGTCCAGTCCCTAAGTCAGTCCTTTCTTCCCTTTTGACTTGGTGCCATCTGTTTCCCAGGCTGACTTCCCTCTCCTCTTCCTTCTTTTCTCTGCCCATTCCAAATCCTGGCCTATCCTTCCTGGACCAGTTAGCCCATACCCTGCCCTTACCCACAGGGGACAGGGTGGGTAGGAAGGGTCTCTGGGTTCTGGACTGAGCAGCCTTTGACTGCCTTGCTCTTTCCTAATTGTCATCTGCCCTATTACCTCTCTCCCAGCCCCCCCCACTCCCCGCTCAAGTTCACCTCATTTCTTCCACTGGATCACCTTTTCCTCAAGAACAGACCAAAGTCCTATTCACCTCAGCCCCAGCCCCCAGCCTTTGGGCAGCCTCACCAGGTACAAGTGAGAAATGCTGATGAAGTAAAGTAGGAAGGAGGGAGACACAGGTGAGTGTGGAAGTGAGATGGTGTGCTTCAGAGCTCCGTACAGAATCACATCAGAGCAAGCCTTCAATAAAAGGCTGCAGGTGAATGTGGGGACACAGGTGGTATGAGGGGTCCTCACTGACCTGCTCTGTGAGAACCACCCCCCACCCCTGTCCAAGGGCAGACTGAGGCTGTAGAGCATCCCTCAGCCTTCTCAGGGAAAGGCTGGTAATTGGCGGAACATGGATTTCATGGAACGTTGGCCTGAAAACTCCTGGGTGACTCCCTTTGGCTGGGGGCCAGGATGGGCCCACACCTGGGTCTTGGCAACAGA